CATTAAGAGGAAATTTTATTTTTTTCAACTTTTGATCTTTTTCATTTACTCAAGAACCTCTCAAGTTAAAGGCCATATTGCCTCAATCAAGTTGGGATAATGGATAAAATAAGGACAGGGCAACTGAGAAATGCTCAGGAGGAAATAGCTGCATCCAACACACTGCCTCATAAAACATGAACAGAGTGTGCATTTTTCAAAGCTCATACAGGAATTAGCATTTAAGTTCAAAAGCCGCCCAGCAAACTCTGTCTTACCTTTTTCTGCTACTTTAAACTCATACTCTTGGCAACCTCAACAACAATAATAAATTGTACAGTAAAACCTAAGGGAAACTTGTCACAATTTCTCAATTCCTAGTTCTTAACCAATGGAACTACAGTAACCAAATGAAAGAAAGAAATCTCTCAGAGTTATCTTCCTTTGCTCCCGTTAAAAATGAGGCTGACTTCTGCCTGGTGGCTCAAGAGACAAAATCAAGTAATGAATAATTAACAACAAACAACTATTAAGTACTAAGAATACATTGAAAAGGAAACAACAGCAGATGATCAGAGACAATGACACATCAGGAGTAGATTATAGACGGAAACTTCTACAATATGTCAGTTGAAATAAACCTTTCCTCCTTTAACTTGGGTGTCAGGTATTTTGTCTCAGGAACCAGAAATATAACTAAGACAACCACATAGACAAATATGTAGCATAAGTTATTGTATAATAAAGTTTATGCACTAATCATCTTTGATTTTCTTTTCTTTGTTAGGAGATGGTGACAAATGGGAAGGCATCTAAATAAAACAATGTTTGACAAGAAGAGGTAATGTTATAAAAGTCTTCAAATGAGTAAGAGTCACTTGAATCTGATGTATTTCTCAATGTTGTTATTATACCTTTAACAGGATTGTATTCACTCTGGAAACACCAAATACTACTGTGTTACCTTAGTAAGAACTGGTTGTAATGATCAAAAGTCTTCAAAGTCATTAAAAAATGTCATCATTATATTCTTAATTTTTCATTCAATCAAGCAAACTAGTATATAAAAGGAATCTGTGCTTGCTATCATGGTTCTTCGTATGAAAATTACAAGCTTTTCTTTTATGTCACTACTAATTCACTTAATCATTCAAACACTATGTCTTACTTTGAACCACATTCACAAGTTTATTGTATTATATTTAAAAAAAAACCACACACACACACACATTATATTTGGTTTAATTCTCCCTTTGTCTGCTCCTAGAAATGACCCTGCCTCTTCTGTACCATCCCTGCCTTCCTGCTTCCCACCATGGCTCACTCAATAAGAATGCCTCTGGATATTTGCCTCAATTCTAAAGCCACCTGCCTAGTATCTGTATCTGGAAAACACAGTAAAAATAATGATATAATAGTAAAAATACACTCTAGTTCAGACTGCCTAGGTTAAAATCCCTTTCTACCATTCATAACCTGAACATCCTTAGAGAACTTCATCTGTCAAATAGAAATAAAAATGGACTCTACACAGGGCTGCAAGAATTATGCTAGGAGATATTCAATTCACATAAAGCACATGAAATAGTGTCTGCCAAAGAGAAGACATTCAATAAAAGTCAAATATATTCATTCTCTATTAAAATTTTTACCTATGACTTTGAAATATAGCATGTTAAAAATAAAACAAGAATATCTCAAATTCAACGCCCTTCTGAAATTCCCTATTTCATTCTAGCCAGAGAGTTATCTTCTTCAATGTTGAACATGTAAGGAATTCTTCCTTCACATGTCAACTCCTTTCCTCCAAAGTGCCTCCCCTTTAAATGAGCCCTTCAGTACCTGGACTACTTCAGCTCAGGCTTAACTCAATTCCTGATCTCAACTTTCCCTTACTCCCAGCCATTCTTTCACTGCTGCCAGAATTAATCCTTTAAGACCAAGGATGCAAACACTGTAGACAATATTTTAAAACTCATCATTTATAATAAATATATAAAACACTGCAAAGATAAAAGGAGAAAGTACAGATTTTAACAATGTTACTGAAACAACTCAATATCTATGTCATTAAGGAAAAAATATTTTAAAAGCACAGAATCTTCATTAAGTGTATCAAAAATTTTTAGAAAGTCGGAGCAGACCTAAATACACTCATGCACCATATAATCATGTTTTGGTCAACAGAAGACCACAAATACCACAGTGGTCCCATAAGATTACATTGCCCAGTGATATCTCTACTTGTGTAAATAAATATTTGCACAAGGACAAAATTGCCCAACCATCTCATAAAGTGGTTCATAACTGTACCTTATTCATGATAGAAAAGTCAAAATGATGAACATTCAAGTTTTATCAAAAGTCATTTAAACTGGGGATTTAGCTCAAGTGGTTCCACCATCTGCCTTGCAAGCACAAGGGCCTGAGTTCGATCCCTGGCACACACACACACACACAAAAAAAAAGTTATTTAAAATTTCAATTTAATCATAATCAAAATTATACTAGTACTCCTTGTTGAAATTAAAAACTGATCCTAAGGGCCTGGGATTTAGCTCAGTGGCACCACACCTGCCTCACAAGCACAAACAACATCTTAAATTTGATCCCCCCCTGGGGGGGGCTGATTTTAAATTTATATGGAAGGGTAATGAGCAAAGAACAACCAGGACACTCTAACAAATACAAAAATACACTAGCACTATCAAACATCTACACTTAGCGTATCTATACAACATATGACATTATAGAACAAGAACCAGAATAAAGAAATAGACCAATGGAATGAAAAAAAGGGGCAAAGGACATACTCAAAAACATCTATGAACATATGTCTATTATCTATTGACATATGTTTTAACATATGTCAAGAGTGGGTAATGCAGAGACAAAAGAAGAATGAACAGTTTTTTAAAAACAAAATTAAGCGATACTGGAACAAGTGAATATCTACATGGAAAAAGTTAAATCGGACCACTTCACAGGGCCATAACCATCTCCTCCAAAAAATCAACTCCAGATGGAATACAGATGCATATGTAAGAGATAAAAGCATGGACCTAACAGAAGAAACATAAGAGACTATTTTAACAGCTTAAATTTAAGGAAAAAAATTTTAAGAACAGAGACCAAAAGTAAAGACTTCATAATGTTAAACCACAATTTAAAACCATAACAAAATATAATTTAAAGCAGTGAAAAGATAAACCACAGTTGGGAGAAAATAAAACATATATACTATCGAAAGACTAGTAAACAAAACACACATAATGTTTACCACAAATGAGTAATAAAAAGAAAAACTCAAGAAAATGGATAAGCCATTTCATAAAAAATGGAAATACAAATGGCCAACAAAACAGATTTTAAAATGTTCAACTTCATCAATGATCAGGAAATACAAACTAAAACTACAATAAAAGACATCTTCGCCAATCAATTTGGAAAAATTTAAAACCCTGATTATATCAACCATAACAAGCATAGAGAATAACAATCATACACATCCACTGCCAGGTAACCCTAAGTACATCCATTTTCAAAGAGAGACTGGCATTACCCACTGAAGTTTGAATGTGCACACACTTATGACCCAATCATTCCATTACTAGGTACATATCCTGAAATAACCCTTACACACTTGTACCAGAAGATATTTAAAATAGTGACAGCAGCAGTGTTCATGAAAACAAAACCCTGTGAAAAACTAAAACTATCAATAAAAAAAAATAGGGGCTGGGTGCTTAATGGCAGAGTATTTGCCTAGCATGAGTGCAGCCACGGGTCCAACTCCTGATGCAAAAACATTAATAATTACCATGAATGGCTAGTCATTTTATATTCATCAAATGGAAAAATCTGAAATTATAATGCTGAGCAAATGAAACAAATCTCAGAACACAAGCAGTATATGATCAATAAATACAGTTCAAAATAGGGATAAATAATATATTGTTTAAAAATACAATTCATAGATGATAAGTCTACCAGCCAAAATAAAGAAATGGCTCAAAAAAAGTCAGAATAAAGGTTACTTCTTGAATCAGGCGTGGTGGCACACACCTATAATCCCAGCATTCTGGAAGGCTGAGGCATGAGAATCACAAGTTTGATCCCAGCCTTAACAATTTATCAAGATTCTGTATCCAAATAAAAAATAGAAAGAGGGCTGAGGATGTAGCTTAGTGGTGTGAAAGCCCTGGGTACCTTAACTGCAAAAAAGAAAAAAAAGAAAAAAGATTACTTCTTGGGGGTAAAACTGAGAGACACGGACTATGCCTATAGGCTTGACAATGTTGCAATTCTCATTCTGGGTGTACAGGTATATTTATTAATACTTTATTATTATTTAAACTACAGGACTTGGATAATATCTTTTATAATAATCACAATGAAGAGAAGAATCTCACAGGAGAGTGAAGTAAAGAAGAAGGAACCCTTAAGAGGTCTAGATGGGAAGGCAAGAGAAAAACAGGACAATAGCTAAGAGGGGTTTAGGGGCTCGTTAGACCTGAATGAGTCAAATGCTGATGAAAGGCAACAACAGGGTTGGAGAAGTTGAAAATATAGAATGAGGAAATAATTTTCAGAATAAGGGAAGATTCAGAGCACACATGAAAAAAAAGGATATTTTTTCCACCTGAACCTGAGAGAACAAAGCAAAAAGGACTTATGTGCCAATTAACCAGCGTCAGTCACAGGGCAGACATCAGAACACCTAGACGAGGGGTGGCAGGCAGGGAAAGAGAACACGTATGGGCTGCACAAGGCAAGTGCACCAGTCTGTACTGGGTTCTCCAGGAAGAATGTGTAGTTAAAATTTAAACATTCAAATCACTTACCAGCTAAATACACAAATACAAAAACCATAATAGAAAAGGTCTCATTAATTTTTTTGTTCTGTATCAGTTAAACTCAAAATAGTATAATCTTTAAAAGTACAACTCATATATTTAATTTGCTGATATGCTTAACTTCATTATCAAAAATAGCGAAAAAACAAAACAACTTTCACTTACTTAATTGAGTTTCTAAAGTGGTCTTCAGCTGGGTTTTTTACAGTACAACTGTTCAGAAGCCATAAATCTGCTTCAGATGGGTTTTCTAGTAAAAATAAAAAAGAATACAAAAAACAAAAGTTAAGTATCACATTTAATCAAATCAAAAATATCCAAGTGCTTACCCAGATGGTGCAAGACTGGTTGGGGGGTTTGTTAGAGGCGAGTAAACAGCCAATTACAATACAGTAAGTAATTGCTGTAATGTGGAAAAATAATCACAAGCAACAAATACAAAAATGTGTGTTCTGTACTGTATCCTTTCACTTAAAATGTAATGAGGACATTTTCCTTAATTTTCAAAGTGCAAGAGTACTATTTCATAATTTCCATAAACTAAAATGAAACTGTCCTAATCTTCTCTACATATAAAATTAATTGCCCTCTTTTGGATTGTGTTAATATTTTTCAGGCACAGGTATGAGAAAATACTGAGTATTCCTCAGTTTTAGAAGTTATTAAAATTATAACTTGTCTGCCATTTAGAATTAATGATTTACCTCAAAATTTGTCATTTCTTTCACCAGTCTGATTAAATATTGTTAGCAAATATAATAAACATACTGGCAATAGGATAAATAATCCAAACCATGTTTATTAAAATGAATTTACAAATCCTTACAGCACCCACCAGTCCACCTTTTTTTTAATACCTCGGTTGCCTAAAAGGATTTTGTTTATTAAAATAGAATTAACTACCATAAAGAAGGAAACCAAAAGTGAAAACTAACCCTTTCAACAACATTTCAGTAAGAACAGAAGCAATTGGTATAAGGAGCCAAAAGCACATTCAGGTGTTTCTGTCCACATGTGCTATCTGGGAAGCAATATTCAGGTTAGAGCATAAGGCTCGAAAGATAGTGAACACATCAGAGCTAAAGGTAATCTGGAAATAACTTTTCCCCCCAACTTTCTTTATTAATATACTAAAATCTTTTTTTATAAAGAGGCAGAGTAAAAAAAAAAAAAAAAAAATCCCTGAAACAATAAAAAGGGCAACTCCTTATCACTGCATGCTAGCTGAATAATGATTCCCTCCTAACTCATCTCTCTCTCCCTTCCATTCATCCCCCACCAGCATCCTAATGGTCTGTGTTTCTGTCCAGCAGCAAAAGTGGCCTTTCATACCACAGAAACCTAAGTATGTCCCTTCAGAAAAGATGAGTATACACCTACCTTCTCTTTGTTTCGTACACATCATTCCCCACAATGCCACTGAAAAGATCATTCCTCTATCAATATATGGTAGCACCATCCCAATCTCCCAGTGATTGACAGTTGGAATTAAAGGCCTGTCCAGATCGGGCTGCCTACCTCCTCAACGTCTATACTGATTTTCTCCTATTTTCATCTTCTGCCAATCACGGAAATTCCTTCTCACCCTTTAGTTTCAGCTTCAGGCTTGTTAGATCTCTTTCTCTGCACTCCCTTAACAGACTGTGCTAAGAATATTCTTGCACTTTATAATAGTGTGTTAAAAGCATTCATTTTCCAGCCTGTCTCTATTAAGAGATTCTGAAGACAACATTTTAATCAGATGTTCTCTGGATATCTAAATTTTAATGCAGTGATGGGTATAGAACAGGTATTCAAATAGCCATGCAACAAGTAACCATTGTGCAAGTAGGTGCAGGATGAGACAAGAATGACAAAGAGATCATGCGTGGGACCCTCCTTCCCATAGCACTGATCCAAAAGCTCTGAAAGCCAATGATGATCTTCAAAAGAGACACTGATTTATTTAACAAACAGAACTGAGTCTTTTACCTTATTTGCAGCTATATCCCACAACATGTTTCAGCTTCTGGTACATGATAGATAACCATTAAATATTTACTGAATTAATATCAAAGTTTAAAAAGACAGATCATTACTATGAATAATGTACTACAGATAAGAAAAAGTCACAGAGATCTGTTAACTAATGATAAAAAATAGTGATTGTGGATTTATTTTTTAAAGAAATAAGCAAATAGCTAATCCTAATGACAGAGCTATCTGTACCAGAGGCCACTTTTATATGATGGCATAATCTTCTTTTCTGTTACCTTCAAGTTATTAGACAATTCATGCCATCATCACAAGAAACTCCAGCAATAAATAAAAGAAGTTATTCTACTCTATTTTGTATTTAAATATGGCCAGTGTTGACTTCTGGAACAAACTGAGGATCCAATAACTGCAATCAATGGAAATCCTATGACTACACCAAAGTGCCTACAAAATTACAGAACTATTTAGAAAATCACCCCACAAGAGAGAACATCACTTCTCAATTGACACCAGAGATACTCAATTCTTTCTTTCTTTCTTCTTTTTTTTTTTTTTGGTTTTTTTGTTTGTTTGTTTGTTTTGTTAATGGTAGAAATGTTTTATCAAAAGTAGGAAAAGAAACAAGCTCTGCAGAGCAAGTTTGGACCAAGTAAAAGTAGGAAAAGAAGTACACCCTACAGCACAAGGGTGGGCCACTATGCAAGAGAGAACACAGTGGGAAATATCAAATTATTTCTGAACACCACTTTGTCTTAGTACATCTTACTGAATATTTTCCAAAGATGATTCTACTTAAAGGTACAAAGCAATCAAAAGCCAACAGAGAGTAAAGATTTCTTATGTGTCTAGACCATGTAAGAGGTACTAGGGACATGGCTGTGAAAGCTGCTCTTCTCAAGGAGTTCAGAGTCATTAAGAGGAAGTCTGATTTTCAAAAGTTAAAAATAAATTTAAAAAAAAAACAAAAAGCAGCCAAACAAGGTAATTTAAGGTACCATCTGATAATATGAAGATGATTAAACAAGGTAAATGACAGAGAAAAACAGAGGGTCTACTAGTTAAAATAACCCTCTTATGGAAGTTGAATCTGACTTGGGGTGAATGACAGGAAGGAATCTGCCATGCAAGGATGGGAAGGAAAAGTGCAAATGCAAAGGCCACGAAACAAGACCAGGCCTGTTATGTCTAGGAAGAGCGAGAAAACAGGTGTGAAAAAGGATATATGGAAAACAGGGAGAAAAAGGTCAGAGAGGTAGGCAAAAGTCAAATTCTTTGATATAATCCACTTTGGAATATTCATTGGATTCCCACTGGCAAATTAAGAACTCTAGATTTTCCTCTAAGTGTAACATGAAGTCACTACTGATTTCTCACATGAGTTAATTTCTATTTCAGAAAAACCATTCTGGTAGCAGTGAAGACTCTAGGTGGGTTATTAGTCTGCTCTGACACTACAACTTACAGAAGAAAACTCTGGCTCACTGTTTCAGAGGTTTCAGTCCATGGTCAGCTGGCTCCAAAGCAGGAACATCATGGTAGAGGGCATAGTGAAGCAAAGTTACTCAATCCATGGCAACAGGAAAGCAGAGCAAGGGCCCCACCTCTTAAGAGTACATGGTGCTATGAACATCAGTGGGTTAATCCACTGATAAGCCACAGGGGTCTCAATCCAGTCAAGTCAACAGCTTTGCTGGCAATATACAGCAAAAGCAAAGATGAAGCTGGAGGATGTTAAATCAACAAAACAAGCTAACAGTTGATGCACTGGGTGAAGAGTAAGTGAAAGACCATAGTAACCGGAACAACTTGCAAGAGTGAGAAGTGAACTGAGACATATTTTGGAAGAAGAGTGTGTGGATTTTCTATCACTATAGTAAAATACCTGAGATTATTAATTTTAAACAGAAAGGTTTTGTTAGAGCTCAGAAGTTTGAAAATTCTAGTCCATGATGAATTGGTCTGTTTTAGGCTGTGGCTAAGCAAAACATTATGGGCATGGCAGAGCAAAACAGCTCATCTCATGGCCAGGAAGAAAAAGAGAGAAAGAGAAAGAGGTATAGGCCCCCTAATCCCCGTAAGGTTATGCCAATGACTTAAGGACCTTCTGCTGGGCCCCGCCTTCTCAAAGTTTTACTACTTCCCAAGAAGTTAAGATGTGAAATGGAAGCGAGGCTTGGAGAGATGCACTGATAGTTCCAGCACTTAGGAGGCCAAAGCAGAAAGATCATTCGAACCCAGCAGTTCAAGGCCAACCTGGGCAATCCTTAAAAAATTAACAAATTTGTAAAAATTAATAAACAATGGAGTCTGAGCTTTTAACACATGAATCTTTGGGGGACACTTGAACAAAAAGCATCACAGACTTGAGAGAATTAATGGGAAAGTTAAATAAGAGATGTGCAAGAAAGAATCAAACTGGATTATTAAGTACTTACTAAGGATTTTTGCCCTGAGCATCAGCTGTGGTGCCATTTATTGAGATGAAGGCCTGAAGAAAAACAAGATTCGGGGATAGGGAGCTGATAGCTTTGTTTTGGATATGTTATTTTTGAGATCCCTATTAAATTCCCAATTGGAATTTGTACATATGAAACAGATGTTGAGAGGTGAGGGTCTTTCAGAAAAGTGATTTAGTCTTTTCCTGCTACATTCTGTGACATCCTCAATCAAGGAAAGGGAGAGGGAGAAACAGAGAAAGAAAGAGATAACATAATACAGGTCATGCAGATATCTGGTAGAGAAGATATAACAAGAAAGCCAGGTATGGCGAGACATGCCTATAGTCCTAGTACTCAGAAGACTGAGGCAGAAGGATCACTCGAGGCCAGGAGTTTGGGCCAAACTCAGCAGTTTTTTGTTTTTTGTTTTTTTTCTTACTAGGGATTGAACTCAGGTCATTGCACTTGCAAGGCAGGCCATGGAACCACTGAGATGAATCCCCGGCCTCAAGCAGATCTTTAAAAAACAAACAAATTTGTGAAAAGGAATACTCAGTAAGATAAAAGAAAAAGAAAATTAAGGAACATGGTGTCACAGAAGTCCAGAGAAGAAAGCATTTTTAAAAACAGAACAATTACACTAAACACTAAGAATTCAAGAATGATATCTGTATAAATGTTAATACCATTAACAGAATAAGATAATACTTATTTTTCATTTTCAACTCTCAATTAGAAATGTTTGTTGACTTTGCACCAACCCACAATTATCTAACGAAAGCCCTTTTTACTAAATTATACAGAAAACAAATTTACTACAAAAAAAAAAAAAAAA